AGCACAAGGTGTTATTTGTCATATTTAATTATCATTACATTAATAAAACAGACGTTTTGGCACAATCTTCAGTAAATTTACAATATTCTTAAAACGCAAAATTACAAATATCTGATATTACATTCGTCATAAAGTAATTATAAATGTGTTCTTTCATCATGTGAACGTTGAAAGTTTTTTATAATACCATATTTAAGTAAAGTATCTGAAAGATTTAAAAAACTATCACATATTCAGGGACTTAATATCGCTTATAAGCCTATAAATAAAATGAATAGATTCATTAAAACAGGAAAAGATCCTTTGCGTAAAGAGGACCATTGTAGAGTCGTTTATAAAATAAATTGTTTTAATTGTGAATCTTCTTATATTGGCCAAACAAAAAGGAAATTAAAAACTCGAATAAAAGAACATAGGGCTGACATAAGAAAATCCACTTCTGAGATATCAGTGGTTTCACGTCACCAGTTGAATGAGATGCACGAATTGGACTGGGATAATATCAGAATTTTAGACACAGAACAATCTTTAATAAAAAGAAGAATTTCTGAAATGATACATATTAAAAGCCAAATAAGTAGTATCAATAAGCAAAGTGACACCGAAGGTTTGCCCGATGTTTATCTGCCTTTTCTAAAGAAAGATCTCTCTCACTTTTAATAAATAATTCTAGAACAATCTAAAAATTTTGACATAAATATATAAATAGTGGTAACATACATGCTATGACAAATAATAACACACAATGTCACGACAAATTTCCATCTGTGTAAAGGATGTACTTAAGATTCATCAAAAAGTTTTTTTGCTGTAAAACAGGTAACGATTCTATTCTCATACTTTTCGACTTAAAATATTAATGATAGGTTAATTTTTAAATTAGAATCTGGAAATTCTTGTTCTACATAATTCGAAATATGACAATTGGCGCTGCAACATTGTTGTACGATGTACCTTTACATGATGAAAGAACACGTTTATAATTATTTTACATGACGATTGAATGTAATGTCAGATATTTGTAATTTTGCGTTTTAAGAATATTGTGAATTTATTGAAGATGGCCAGATTGTGCCGAAACGTCTGTTGTTTTATTAATGTAATGATAATTAAATATCACAAATAACACCTTGTGCTGTGGTTTTTATGCTCTTCTTTTCATAAGTTTTGATTTATAAACCACGTTAGTTTCTATTATGTCTTTTGCTTATGATTCATTTATTATTACGTAAAAAATGAAAGCAATATTTATTCTGATACCTTTTTAAGCTATATGGACGAAGATTATGGTCCGGTATTGATAGCTGATTTTTATAATTTAAGATTTGTCTTAGATTTAGATTTAAGCAGTCATAAACTATAATAATAATAACAAAGCTGCATTAGTATCTTAAAATATTACTTATGAATACTAGCCAAGAATTAGGTACAAGAATGAGGAGCGCGTGAGCGCCACATAGATTAAAGCGCTTACTCGTTAACTTCAACCTGCTTTCCTGCAAAAATTACTTGCCAGACATAAAAAGGAAGAAGTTGTTCCTTTTAGCATCAAGAGACGATGATCATATGTTTGCGCAAGTCAGCGAATTGCGAGCATTCAAGATCGGTTTTTCAATAAAGGCTGGACCGATTGACTTCTGAGTATAAGCTCAATCGATAGCTTGGGTCTGAATTACGTAAGTGTTTTATTTTATCTCTATGTATCTTACGAACGGAAATATCGTGATGCGAAATCATGCGAAATCCGAAATGTCAAATTTTTATGTAAAATACGTCATCGCCTCAAAAAATTTTCTTCTTTTTATATTTTCGACAATAGGTGACATTCATTTATTGCAATTTTTAAAGTCACGAGATTTTTAAAGTACCGCAAACTCGCATCTATTTTGACGCGAAACGCGATCATATCAAATTTATGCATTTGTATATACGTATTTTATTTTGAAAAATAAAGCTGTCAAGTACGTAAATAAATGTTTTTTAATTGTGATTAGTTTATTTATGACCAAAAAAAATATATATAATATATAAATGCTTAATTTATGTATTATTTAGTTTAATACAGATTTATTTGATGTAGAAGTTTTGTGCATAAAAATGCACAGAGACAAGTAAATACAGTTTAAAAGATGAACCACTAAAACCATCATGTTTGAAATCGGATACTATGTGCACTTCGGACATTCGCAACATTTCTGAAATCAATTGCGGTACTTTAGAAATCTAGACTTTAGTGACTTTCATTTATCGATTTACCTACGGTTTCATTGATTGTGTTCAGCAGAGTCAAATGTTGCGAAGCGGATCCGTGAGCGCTCACTGTGTTGATTTAAAAGAATACACCAATAGCGGCGAGCGCTCACGGATCACCTCCGCAACATTTGAGTCTGCAGAACGCGACCATTAACACTATACATCGATAGTAAAATGAAATGGGAAACATTAATGTTATATAACTATTTTTAAACAAAAATATATGAAAATAGAAACATCTAATTGAAATAAAATAATTTTTAAATAGTTATAACGTTAGTGTTTCAACAAAATGTATTTTCTGTTTATAATTAATGCAATTTAAAGATTTCACATTTGTGAAAAAAATTATTATTAAATATATAACTTTTATAGTTTACAAAAATTTGGAACAGGTTTGAAATAGGAAGTCTTTTTTTTCTTCAAGGATTACACATACAAGCGCGTATAATTTATATAATGGTTTTTTTCTGAGAGGAGCATACTTTTTTTAAAAGGTAATAAAGTATCACATCTTGTACTCCGTGAGCGCGAATTTGAAAATACCCTGTATATTTGTCATATTAAACTGTGCTGTATATCAGTTATATAATAATAGTATAGTAACTTTAGTATTTTAATTATAATTATTTAATTAAATTTCATAATTAACAAAATTTGGATAATCATTCAAAAGTAACGAATTTCATACAGATAATATCAAGAGGCATGGTAATGTCTCGTACCAAGTGAACAGTATGAGGAACTAAAGCTCTATATTAATAAAAGTAGCGCAGATCTGAGCCAAAATGCCGACAACTTTTCTATTAGCTATTCTGACCGCCATTTTGGACTTAGTTGTCTGTAGTCCAGTAAGCGCTTAGTTATTATTAGTATATGGTCCACACACAGTATGGCGGACTTATGCGCTCCTTTTATTAAGGGGTTACATCACCTTGGAGGTTTGAAAAAATCAAATTTGTTTTTTTTTTTTGCTTAAATCGATAGTTTATAGTTTCAAAGATATAATTCTAATAGTTTTAATAAAAAATTCGATGATCTTATGTCACAAAGAACCAATTTAATGGAGCGCGTCACCGCGCCGCTCCGAACGGTTCCAAGTTGTTCTGACCTGCTCCAAGCCGTTAAATGCTGCATAGACACTTACCGACGAAAATTTGCTATCGGTAGAAAGAGTGCATTGATCACATGCAAAAGCGGAAAAGGCACTCGGCTTCGTAATTTAAAAAAGAACACAAGGTCTCAATGGAAATGGAATGCTGACCGGAAAATTGATTGATGAATTGACCATGTATTACGGTTTTGCAATTAGAAGAAACTGCGTTTCAGTGGGCAAAATAAAAAAAGAAATTTGGACTACGTTATATCACAAAATTTTTATTGATAAAAATCCTCAGCATCAATAGTGTCCGGTCGGAGATAATTCGTGGCAAAAGGCCAAAACTTTAAATGAATTTACTGAATACAAGCATAAACATTTAAAGAAGAAATTTTCATTGCTATCAAGCCAATTTATGAAGATCTTAGTAAGGATGACTGTTGATTCGCTGCTTAGGAGATTTCACTCAGAACAACAACGAATGTTTGAGTGCAACCGTGTGGGCAATAGCGTCAAAAACACTTTCTAGCGGCAAAACAATTGTAGATATTGCCACACATATCGCCGTGTGTAATTTTAATGATGGATTGACAAGTTTAATGGCAATTATGCAGGTTCTGAATCTTATTGTGGGCTCAAATTGCTATCAATTCTATGCGGAGGCGAATCCAAGCGGCTGACCGTTCTTTGACAGTCGCCGCTAAAGAGGCTCGGAAAGCAATAAAAACCATAAGAGGCAGATGAACAATTTGAAAGGACAGTTGTATGATCCAGGAAACAGCAGATTAAAGGTAAAATTGAGATTTTATAAACAAAAAAAAGTAGTTTGCTTTATAAACAAAAAAAATAGTAGTCAAAACTTTAAACACGTTTTTCAAAGTTAGTGGTGCACATAACTTTTACATTTTTCATCCAAATCACTTGAAATTTAGAATGAATACTCTCTTATATATAATCTAAAGAAGTACGATTTTTGCGATATATTGAAAACTTTTTTTTCAATTAACATTTTTATATAAAAATTTCAGGCGAAAAAAACAACTTTTTTTTCATATGTTCACTATTTTCATAAAAATCAATATTTTTGAAAACTCCTACTTTCTTTAGTTTTTTTTAGTTTTTAATATGCAAATGATAAAAATGTTTGGTATTTCTAGGATGAACCGTGTAGAAATTTTGGATACCACAGCGGAGGTCCGGCTAAAAAAGATGTTTGATGATACGATTATAGTGCCGTCATTTTGTAAATAAGAAATATAAAAAGAATTTTTTTATACATTTAAAGATGCATATAATATAGCCCTAATAAACAATTTTTCATTCACTCCATTTAAAAAAAAAAATTCCAAACATACATATCAATTTTAAGCTGCAAAGGTGGTGTAACCCCTTAATATAGAGCTTTACGAGAAACGAGCGCGATTTTATTAACATTATATACATATATTATCGATACTGTTCTCAATACGTTGAAGGCCAATAATTATCAATATATAAAATTTGAATAAACGTATATTAATCAATTTAATTAATTTAATTACAGCTATAATACTTACTAATATTAATTGTTAGTTGCAATAATTGTAATAGTTGATATTTAAGTCTTATTTAATTCATTTATATTTCTTGAGTCATATCTTATACTTACGAGCCTCCAAAATCAACAACAAACAATCTTTGCAGCAACTCATACGTGAAAAGAGTAACACCAAATTGAGGTGATGATCTGAACACTCGAGCTGTAAGAATAGAAAAGTGTGTGATATTAAATATACATTATATATAATTTTGAACGTGTAGAGTCTATATTCTTTGTCCAAATAAAGATTTGAAATGTTTTGATGGCAAGCTTGTTGATATGACTATATTTTTTCAGATAGAACAAATATATATAGAATATATATATTTGTATAGAACATTTCAAAAACTAATGTAGTTATAAATAGTAATAATATTCTACACAGTTTTAATTTTTGTCCATTTTATATCAAATAGGATTATATCAAATAGGATTATATTTTTATTTATAATGCGGTTAATTTTGTGTAAATGAATCTGTAAATAAATATTAACCACAATTAAGAAAATGCTGGTCAATAAAGTTGAAGAAATTGTTAATTAATAAAGATCAATAAATTCAGAAGACTTAATTCGAAATGAAGCTTAAAAAGTTACATGTAAAATTTTATATACGTAATATTATATTTCACATACTTTTATCAATTAAGGTAATTCTTCAGTAAATCGAGTTACCATAGAAATGTCAAATTTTTTTATACAATGAAATTGAAGTTGAAATACCAAAATTGAGACCAGAGCTGGGGAAAAATTGAAATAAACACTGCAAAAATATTTATTTAAAAGATGCATCTATACAAATACTATTTCAAATAGGTATTTTGTATCGTACATGTAAAAAAGGTAAACAGTATTTACTATTTACATCGACGTTTACTTCAAGTAAAATATTTATTTGACACATTTCGTTATTTCATAATTGAACATAACATTTCTATTTTCTATTCCTTATTTCCTATTTACTATTTCCTATTTCTAAACGGAATGAAATAGGAAATAAAAATAAAACAAAAAGCAGCGCATATTTCAAAGATATACAGGATTTTGCGTGACACCCGTTAGTAGCAGATTCCTGAAGTTATTTCGAAAGTCTTAAACTAAAATATCGAAATATTATCAAAATTAAAAAATTTAAAATTATGAAAGGCATTTATACATTTTCCAATGATCCGGACATTTTTCAAGTTTCTATATTCATCATTGATCCGATCTAACATCCGTAATTCTGAATTTGCAAATTTTAATATCGTATTCATATCCAACACAGTAGAAACTCTTAAATTTAAATAAATATAATTAAAAGCTATTTGTTTTTTAAATAATTGAATCATTAATGATTGAATTCACATCTTTTCCGTAATAGATCCCGTTTATATTTAACTACATTAATCATCTTATTAATAATAGCTGACACTAAAAAATCCTTATGAAGATTGAAAGTCTTAATAATATATTTAATTTTGATTGCAATAAAACTTCTCTGTTGCAATAAAATTTCTCTATTACTTCTCTTAAAAGTAAGCATCGAAATTAAAAAAAAGTATTTTAAGGCGATGCACAGTAGATTTGTCCTAATTGGAATTACAAGATAACGTTAACTTTCTTTATAAAAAATATCAAATCTCTTTAGAAAAGCCATTTTTTGGACATTAAATCCCAATTATCTCGAAAACCTGACGTTAGAATTTTTTTGTTTGCGACATCGCTTTTAACATATAAAAATCTATAAGAAACACCTTTAAACACTTTTAAAAACGTTTAATATAAGATATTTATTTATTTATTTATTTATTACTATTCTATATATTTCAATACGTTCTAAATAATAATTTCCCCCTATCTCTTCTATTGTTAGTAATAAATTTATGACAACATAGTTAATTTTATACAATTCATTTATTTGCTTTCAATAATACACACTTTTCAATTTTTTAATGAGTTTTGCCGAGGTGATGATATTAATCCAGCGAAACTAAACAGATATTTAGTTCTACGAGAGCAGAAGATGGTATTGCATTATATTTATTTGCAGTATTATATTTAAGAAATAATATTTTAATTTTTGAGTATTTATGAAGACTTTGAAGTGAAACGTCATCATCTTTTAAATATTGAAGCAATTCATTTCGGTTAAATATGCTTTGTGAGAAATAGATGAATTTTCCATAAAAACTAAAAAATTGTTGCTCTTTTTCATTACTATACAATTTATTAATATTTGTCGAAGTGAGATTTCATTATTTATAACTGTTCAATTATAAAATTGGTTACCATATCTTTAATAAACTATAACTTACTATCTTTTGTATTTTCAGGTACTCAACGAAACTTTCATTTTGGATGACGTACTGTAGCAATAATAAAATCTTTTGCATCATCATTTAATTTCATTATATTATGAAAACGATCACGCAAACGTTTTAGAAAATGCTCTTTTAATGGTTCGCAATGTTTTAATATCATTTTCATCTAATCTTTTAATATTTTCTAAATTGTTTTTACTCTAAAGATCCAAGGTAAAATATCGCCACTAAATATTTCTTTCTCGCCTTGCAAAATATTTAAACAAATAATAAATATGTTATGAGATCTGTACATATTTTATATTCTTCTAAGAATTCAATATCTTGAGCAAAAATATGATAAAATATATATTTCAAGTGCTTCAAAAATTTTCGTTAATAATTCTTTAATTCTTTTCAATAATTCTGTCACGCTGTCGTAAAAAGAATTCCACCTTGTTATACATGGTGTACAAGGAGCCCTACCTACAATTTTTTTATACTATTCGCTTGTCTTATTTGAAGATCGATTTGTCTTATTCCACAAATTGGAGCACTTCTTTATAATAGAAAGATGATATTTTCCATAAGACGAATTTAATTAAATTAATTTGTTTATATCAGAAGTACATATTTTAAACTAAGTGTATGAGAGCAACATTGATAATATTTTGGCAAAATATAATAATTTTCATCTGCTAACATATCATTCTCACTTAAGGAAAGAACTTCATTAATATTACAAAATTGAACATTAATCTCATCCTCATTATAGTTTTCAACTTCTCATCATCATTGTTTCTCATATTAATATGATAATTAAATTCTCGAAAAGTTTTTATAAAATTGCTATCGTTGTCTGTTACCGTACATGTTATTTTTTCTATATTGAGACCATATTTTTCATGTATTTTATTTAAATTTTTAGCAATCGAAGTGTAATTATGACCTTCAAACCGTCTACAAGCTATAGATTCGCGTTTAAAGTTATAAGGATTTATCCAATAAACCATTACACCTAGAAAACTCTGCCTAAATGCATCATATGTCTATTGTACAAACATAATTTATTTCTGAAAGTTCTTTACGAATATTTGTCGTTACATTTTCAAATTCAATTTGTATACGTTTAGATAGCGTTTTTCTACTTAAACAATGTGCAGGCGTTTTTAAATTACTAAGACCCGATATTAATCTAATAAATTCAGGTTCTTCTACTGTCTGTTCAGTGATTTGTCAGTTCCTACAATGAAAACCGTTATCAAATCATTTGCAACTTGTTAACTTCATTGAACTGTTCCGTGATAATTATGCTTTTTTGTAACTCGGCATTTCTTATGAACGACAGATTCATACAATGAATTTTTATAATATATTCATAATTTAATTCATAATTTATATTCATAATATTCTTCAATGAAATTAGAATGTACAATCTTCAGATGCAATAGAAAATTTGAAGTTGAATGAAAACTTTCTTTAATTGATATACTGCATGCAGTACATTTTGCAGTAATATTACATTTTTTATCGTTCATACTTGTATTTGATTAATATTATCATCTCAGCGAAACTCATTAAAAAATGTTTGAAAAATGTGTATTATTGAAAGCAAATAAACAAATTGTATAAAATTAACTATGTTGTCATAAATTTATTACTAGCAATAGAAGAGATAGGGGGAAATTATTGTTTATAACGTTGTTTATAACGTTGAAATATATAGAATAGTAATAAATAAATTAATATGTATCTTATATTAAACGTGTTTTTAAAAGTGTTTAAAGGTGTTAAAAGTGTTAAAGATGTTTCTTAGAGATTTTATATGTTAAAAGAGTTATATGTTAAAAGCGATGCCATAAACAAAAAAATTTTAACGTCAGGTTTTCGAGATAATTGGGATTTAATGTCCAAAAAATGGCTTTTCTAAAGAGATTTGATATTTTTTATAAAGAAAGTTAACGTTATCTTGTAATTCCAATTAGGAGTCGCAAATCTACTGTGCATCCCCTTAAAATACCTTTTTTAATTTCGATGCTTACTTTTAAGAGAAGTAATAGAGAAATTTTATTGCAACAGAGAAGTTTTATTGCAATCAAAATTAAATATGTTATTAAGACTTTTAATCCTCATAAGAATTTTTTTTTAGTGTCAGCTATTATTAATAAGATGATTAATGTAGTTAAATATAAATGGGATCTATTACGGAAAAGATGTGAATTCAATCATTAATGATTCAATTATTTAAAAAACAAATAGCTTTTAATTATATTTATTTAAATTTAAGAGTTTCTACTGTGTTGGATATGAATACGATATTAAAATTTGCAAATTCAGAATTACGGATGTTAGATCGGATCAATGATGAATATAGAAACTTGAAAAATGTCCGGATCATTGGAAAATGTATAAATGCCTTTCATAATTTTAAATTTTTTAATTTTGATAATATTTCGATATTTTAGTTTAAGACTTTCGAAATAACTTCAGGAATCTGCTACTAACGGGTGTCACGCAAAATCCTGTATATCTTTGAAATATGCGCTGCTTTTTGTTTTATTTTTATTTCCTATTTCATTCCGTTTAGAAATAGGAAATAAGGAATAGAAAATAGAAATGTTATGTTCAATTATGAAATAACGAAATATGTCAAATAAATATTTTACTTGAAGTAAACGTCGATGTAAATAGTAAATACTGTTTACCTTTTTTACATGTACGATACAAAATACCTATTTGAAATAGTATTTGTATAGATGCATCTTTTAAATAAATATTTCTATTTAAACTATTTTTATTATTTCGCCGCACAGAAAATATGTATTTACTATTTTCTATTTCAACTATTTTCTCTAGCACAGAAATTGATATGTGCAAAATTCTACAGTAGGTTAATGAAAGAATGTTGAAAATGTAACTTTTCACGTATAGCTTAATGATAGATAAAGCTCGCAGATTCTTTGATTAATTGCACACAAATCTTACCATAGACTTTTCTCAAAAACGAGATTATAATAGTTTAAAAAATTACGATTTTAATGATCACAAAAGTAATAGGTCAACGGCTATTTTAGTAAGATATTTACGTGCATAAATTTGCATATTAATCTCAAAAAATAAACGTGATCTCATCTTGTTCTTGTTCGATGAAGATGCAGCTCTTGATTTGTTATTTCATGTTCCATGCTATTTTATTAAGATATACACGACGTTTTTATATTTTATCCAAATATGCAGATATTTGTAATTTTGGGTAGGTCTTAGGGAGGTACCCCAAATTTTTAGCATTTTACTAAAGAACCACCTTAACAAGATCAGGGAAACAAGATTGGCAATTGTTGTTTTTTGAATAAATATATATTAATATATTTGAATTGATTAAATAAATTGAATTCTTTGCATGCTTAATGTAAAGAATTATGATAACGCAATAGTTATCGCACGGCAGTATCTCGCTCCATATCTTAGCGCCGAGACACTCTTAGCACCGTGTCTCCAGATTATTATTAATGCAATTGCAGATATCTTGTTTTATCCAATTATAGTATATTATCGATATAATGCAAAATTTTTATTAATTTTTATCGAAAGTAATAATCTCGTCTACGCGTGATACAGATTACTAAAGCCATCTATTAGAAAAATAATGGATTTCTTTTTACTACACCTAATATATTGTATTGTTATAATAATATTAACATTTTTCTGTTTCCCCCAAAAAAGCTAATATAAATTTTTTTACAGTTTTACATCGCTGTACCGACGAAAAAAAAAATTTTACGAAAACAAAATGATGAATAATTGCCAAAATATTCACACAAATAACGAGTTAATTAAATTAATGATACAATGTAATATTTCATGATGAATTATATGATAATTATGCTACAAATCATAATTATGTTACATACATATACAGATACAAATTTTATTTTGCTTCCCCAACAAACTTACTTTACTTTTTAATAATTTTAATATTTTAGATTGTTATTAGAGTCCGTTTTTATATTATAGTTTCTGCGAATAGGTGAAAGTGGCTGACTGAAATAAATTAGTTTATAAAAAAGTTTTTTGTAATTGCAACATCATATTGCCTCTAAGGATGACTCAAAAGTAAGTCGAAACATGTAAGCGAATTAATTGTTAATAAAGTGGTTTTGTTAACCGTATTGATTTGCACAAGGATTACCGTGCTTGACTCCTATTGCCCTGTTTTATCCAATCATTTTGTATCATTAAGAAGTCTTTAGGAATTAATTTATATTTGATGAGAGAAGATTTGATTTGATGAGAGAGAGAGAGAGAGAGAGAGAGAGAGAGAGAGAGAGAGAGAGAGAGAGATACTGTATATTATATATTTATTTTAAAAACTATATGCTTTAAATAATATATATGCTTTATTAACCCGCACTTTCAAAGTTATAGGCTAAAATGCCGAATATGCATATATAAAATGTCGTTAGATTTGATAAACATTCTGAATACAAAGAATAAGTATATTTATTGCAAATTGGAAAAAAGACGTAAATTATAAAGAGAGAGGAAGATGAAAAGAACATGTACTTACTGATAAATAAATCGCCGAGTCATATGGGGGAGGAAATAAGGTTGAAAGATGCAGCAGGGTTGATCCCCCGCGCATGCAATCGACCAAAGTAAAATATATTACTAATAATACTTTTAAAATTATAATGAAAGAACCATGACAATCTTGTTTCATTTTTACTTCTTATTAGGAATAGATTATAATCGATTAAATTATTTGTTTTACAAAGAAGATTGTATTTAATTTAAAGCAGGGACTTAAAAAAAAAAGATATCCTGCACTTGATAAAAGAATAAAATTGTTTTTTAGAAGTATTATTCTTATAAGTAGTTTTTTAGAAGTATTATTCTATAGTTTATTTATTTCTTTTGCAACTCACTGATCATCTTATCGATATATAAAGTATGATATATTAGAGTTGCAAATTTTTGAAAAACTTGCCAATGTATATGCAGGAAATTAATTGTCTCAAGAGCCTTATTTGTATCAGACATATATATATAATAGTAAAATAATATACCTGTCGCGCCTTTCCAGAATGCCCTAGCACCTTCTTCTTTGAATATTTTTCTTGCGCAATCGAGTAATCCGTTGTACGTAGTTTGACCTTCTCTAGCTACAACCTAAAACATATGTGACAATAAAATTACAAAATAATCGTAATTAAAATTAAACGGAAAAAAGAAAGAAGAACTTCTAGAACAGTATATGTGAACACATTACACGAAAGATAAGAAGGCCTAATTTCCTTTCTTAATTAATTTTTATGCTATTGATAATTAAAGTGAGAAATGCACCTGTAATCTTGTTTTTATCACATCCGCAGGAGTTACCAGTGCTGCTGCAGGTACACCGGCGATGGCACCGGAAACAAGAAGCGACAACGGCGTATTGTAGCCCCCTTCGTCGGCCAATCGCGCTTTCGTGTGAGCATACATAGGAAAGTAAATTGCGCTAAATGGCACATCTCGCAAAAGGCAAGCTCTAGCACCCTATAAGAAAATTGTGATTGTTATCACCTTGTGAGTGATGGGAAATATGATGAGTGTTGGCGTTAAGATAATTATCATTACTTACTTTGTACAATCCAAAAAGACCTAATTCCTTGACGACAGCCCACGCTCTAACTTTTGATCCTCCTGCAATCTCGCCAGCTACTTGTAACCGAATTTTTACTATCTCCAGAGGATTGGTGAATATGACCTGTGATCCTCCAGCCTATTAAAATATTTGAATTTATTATGGTTTATGTTTCTTGTTTGCTTTCTCCAATTAGAAGTAGTACGACTAGACTAAGTAATCATCTAAATCACTCATTTATAATCTCATTTTATCGGAAAAAAAAACAAAAAAAAAACAATAATTATATGTTCCTTGTATTTTATATTCTAACTTACTAATTCAATCTATTTCATGTTTTGTTCTAAAATTCATATTTAATCACGTTTAATTAAAAGTTTTAACAGTAGTAAAAATATAAAAATATCAAATACTCACACAGGCGCCAGATACAATTTCTCCGTACAGTGGTAAATTTCCATTTTTGTCCATAAACTTATCTCTGACAAAATCGTTAACTGTGAGTTTAATAGCCTTTTCCGGAGCTACACCCATTAATTGAGGCATCAGGCCTCGGTAGAGTCCAAAAAAACCTTCATGCCGAATCACCTGTCAAACACAAAACACCAGCTTTATGATTAACAATGCAGAAAGTGTTACACGGCGAGACTTTTCAATTCCAACCTTTTTACAACAATCAAAGCTATTTCTGTACATCAGCTCGCCTATAAATGATCCAGTCCTCTGATTCTGCATTCTGGTCTTCACCAAGTCGATAGGATATACAGCTGTAGCACCAACAGCTAAGAAAGAGTAACTCTTTGTTTCTTTAATAAATTATTATTAAAACTCTGTTAAATAAATATTTGTCTTAAACAGCTCTTAGAAAAATATGCGTATATAATATCGTTACTGTTACTAAGTTACTTTTTTGGTAACGGATTGGTAACTTTTTCGTTCGCAACTATAACATAATTACATTTTTTTTTTGTAAAGGTAACAGATTTTACTATAACTTTTATCGTTAGTTTTTATATTTTGAACTTAATTATAACAATTTTTTATATATTTAATCTTTGATGAGTATTCATAATTCGTTCTTACTCCAAAAGTTGTATAAGCAATGTTTTAAGATGCTAATATGGTTCTGTGATTGATTTATGACGTTTTAATGCTATAAACCAATTACAGAACTGTAGTAACATAATAACGAATTTTATGAATATCAATATTAAAATTTGACAGAATTGGTGCTATGTATTACAAAATTTATTGTGAAACATATCGTCGGATTGCTTCAAAACTTAATCAACAACTGAATATGTACTTTACAGTATATGTAAATTTAGAATATTATTATGTATAAAATTCTAGTTCGAACCGAAAAAGTATTTCTCTTCTTAGTTGTGTTGTCACATAACAATTTAATATTATGTATTATTGTTTATTACTTTTATTAATATAACAAAAATATTGCAAAATTTTTTAGATTAACTTTGTTTCAGCATTAAAAAAGTAACGGAAAAGTAACGAATAGTTACTTTTAAATACGGTAACGGTAACAAGATAACGAATTATTTTTAAGAATCAGTAATTATAGTAATGGTAACTAATTACTTTTTCGATTTCGTAACGAGTAACGACAACTAGTTATTTTTAAAAAGTAACTTTCCATTTCCTGCTTTTCATACCTTAGTATTGAACAATGTAGAATCGCGTTCTATAAAAGAAACTTGATTTAACTCCAAGCTTATCATTTGTATGAGCGTAATAAACATATACAATTCATATAATTTTGTATACGGAAGAAAGGTTAGACAAATAATTAATGTAAAATACCTGATACAAATAAGGCCCAGTATTATTAGGTGTACAAATAAGTTTTAAAGCGTTTTTTATGTAACATATTATGTATAATTTAAACTTAGAATTCAAATATTTTCGCGCTCTTTTGATATGTAGTGGCGTTTAATGTGTACTATGAAAAAACATAATTGACTTCACAAAATTGGAAACTTAACCTCAAAATTAAAATGGTGATTTTAAAATGGTGAGCGACAAGCAATTTATTCGACACTGCATTCGATACGAATTTCATCAAGGAAAAAGCGTTGCTAAAGCATGTGAATCAATTTGTTCTGTTCTTGGAGTCAATGTTGTGTCCAAAAGTACGTGTGAGTCTTGGTTTAGGCGATTTAAAGGATGATTTTGATGTTAGCGATAGAGAACGTAGTGGTGCTCCTCAGAAGGTTACAAACAATGAATTGCAAGCATTACTCGATCAAAACTCATGTCAAACACAAAACGAACTTGCACAGCAATTTGGAGTAACTCAACAAGATATTTCAATTCGTTTACGGCAGATGGGAAAGATTCTGAAAGAAGGAAAGTGGGCCGCATGCATCAAGTGAAAAAAACAAAAATGATCGTCTTGAGAAGTGTTTGAATCTGTACAATAAATAGCATAGAAAATCTTTCTTGTGGAAAATCGTGACTGGTGATGAAAAGTGGATTTTTTACGATAATCCTAAAAAGAGAAAACATTATATGGATCCAGGACAACCCACTACATCAACGCCAAAACGCAACATCCACAGCAGCAAAGTTCTGCTATGCATCTGGTGGGACATGAAGGGTGTGCTATATTATGAACTGCATCCGAATGAAACGGTTAACAGTGATCGCTACAGTCAACAATTGATCCGTTTAAATCAAGAAATCGAACGAAATCGTCCATTTACTGGCAAAGGTAAACGTCCTGTGAAATTGCTTCATGACAACGCTAGGCCTCATGTTGGTAAACTTGTAAAGGAAATGTTGCTAGCTCTTGGTTGGGAAGTTCTGCCGCATCCGGCGTATAGCCCAGACATAGCCCCTTCTGATTATCATTTATTCCGGTCAATGCAAAACGCCTTGTCCGGTGTACACTTTCGAGCATTTGAAGAAGTGCGAAAATAGGTGGATAATTTTATCGCATCGAAAGACGAAACCTTCTTCGCTTCTGGAATTCGCAAGCTGCCCGAAAGATGGCTAAAGATAATGGAGATTATTTTGATAATTAAGTGTGTTTTCGTTTCTAAATAAATAAATATTAAATTTCATTAAAAACGTTTTAAAACTTATTTGTACTAATAAATAAGGCTTACTTTCAAATTTATTATTTAAAAACACGCTTTATATTAAGAATATATATTAAAAGATGTGTCATAGGAAGTAAATGGGAATTAAAGGAAATTAAAATTGGCAGTAACACGTTTGTTTAATGCAACAAACATTTGTGATGATATAGAGGAAAGACCCTTATTATGATATACTGAGTTCATTTTGGATAAATGCTAGAAGTCTATGGGCAGAATTTAAAAAAATAATAGGTCATTTTGAAGAGAATTTAATAAACTTTAAGATAACGTATATAAAATTTAATTCAAATTCCACTTTTTTTGAAAATTAAAGAAATGTAAAAAGTGAGCAAATTGCAAAGTCAAAAAATTGTATTCCTAATATGAGATACCTCGAGAAATCGATAGTAAAACGCAAAGTATATCAGTATTTAATAAGATGTTGTATCAATAATAAGATACTGTATCCAGGAGATCGAATATATATTTATGTATTTATAAATAAAGAAAAATTTTTATTTACAAACCTCCACCAATGGAACCAAGCACGAATCGATAGCCACTTTCGAGCAATTGTACAATAATACCACGTTCATCCGGACTCTGCAAAGTAATATTTACTAAATCGAGTAATTAATATTTTTTTGAGTATTGTGTAGCTTATATTTTAAAACAAAATTATATTTATAATTTTATGTGCTGTTACTTAATTATATTTATATATGTACATATAACATACATATCTTTAATTTTTATATTGCGTGCGTGCGTGCGTGCGTGCGTGTGCGTGGTGTTTGCGCATGAACGCGCGCATTTCTGATCTTCAAATGTATTAAACGGTACTTAAAAATATAAATTGAAAATAGAATTAATAACATTAATAAAAATTATAAATAAAATTCTAAAATTCTTGAATTTTAACACGTATGAATCATCAAAACTAGTTTAAAATAGATTTTAAACAGTTGAGAGATATTTCACACTTTCGAGAATATTTGACAACATAATTTCTTAAATTAAAATATTCTTCTATTATACATACCGATACAGCTTTAATCTCAGCAACGCGCTTTGTAATCTGTTTGAAATATTGCTCGGGTGTAATAGCCACAAGATCATTGTATACAATCTTCCTAAAATTAGAAACGTTCAAGTTTAATATATACATACATACACATATGTATATGTTTACATATTCACATATATATACATATATACATATATACATATATATATGTATATATGTATATATACATATATATCTTAAATATATATCGAGTGTCTGAGACCACCTGTACACCCCTTTTATTTGAAGAGAGCATTTTCAGGAAGAGAGCATTTTAGAAAAAAAAAAAGATAAAAGTTGTATGATTTCGAGATATACATAAGATAATGTCATTGATTTGACTTTGAATAATCATTTGAAAGTCATGTGAAAGTCATGTTATTTTTTTCAAATGATACAATACATCCCATTTTTCATTCGACATTCTGTAACTTATCTCGAGAGCTTTCCAAAATACAATACTACAATCAAATATTTTTTCATTAAGAACTTTTTGAGTTATGAGCTTTGAAAATTACAGTACTGCCAGCATTATCATTATGCAATGTGCCCGACCGATGGCTAAAACTTCTTGAATGTTGTTCAGAATCATGTCCTGGATGATACTTATCAAGGCCATTAGAAGTTATTGTTTTACTAGATATTTTATATTTTGTCAAAATGTTGAAACTTTCAAGCCTTATAACTCAAAAAGTTCTTAGTGAAAAAATATTCGATTATAGTGTTTTGGAAAACTCTCGAGATAAGCTATAAGAATATGGAATGAAAAATGGAGTGTATTTATAAAAATCAACGTGATCTTCATATGACTTTCAAATGACTTTCAAGATTAAGCCAATAACATCATCTTATGTACACCTCGAAACAACTTTTATCTGAAAAATTTTTTTTCTAAAATACTCTCTTTCCGAGATAAAAGGGGTATACGAGTCTTATTAAACACTCGGTATATATTTAAGATATACAGGGTGGCATCAATAAATGATCCCGTCCCGAACAGGTAGAGCGGACTAAACTGAGTCCAAAAGTCCTCTATCATTTTGCAATGCTCGCAATAATTAACGAGATATTAATGTTTAAAGATATACGAATACGTGCGTCCGACCTACTATTGCCGAAGATACGGCCCACCGAGCGCACGGCGCACGGACCGCAAGGAGCGGGGATGGCCTGGCAGGCGCGGCGCGCCATTCGCGAACTTAGATGTTCGCGGCGGTGAGCGATGCTTGCCCCATTCCCCGCGCGTCAAGCTATTGATGGCGGATATTCAGCGCTTTAGAAATAATATCTCGATTGCGAAAATTGGAAAATGATCAAGAACTGTTGAAAAAAAACTCAGTTTAGTTCGTTCTGAAACGTGCATATGTAAATAAAAAAAATGTTATGTAATTACTTGTTTCAAGTAAATAAGAGTATTTTAAAATTATATTATCAAGAAAATATTCTTTGTAATGATATCGTTACTCAAAAGAAGAATAAAATGCGTTCTTTCTTAGCTAGAATGATATTTTTCTGCATTTTTCTACAACTTATTCTAGACTCGCGAGTTAAGATTTTTCTTTGACAGCAAATCAGTCAATTTTTTTCTTCGACAGAAAAGAAACATTTCTTTGAATGGAAGAAACCTTTCTCTGTGTGGATGCGCCGATTATTATTTATACATACAATGTTAAGCACGTTGTTTATAAGTGGCAATTGCCGTCGCTAAATATTATATGCCTAGTGATGGCAAACGTGCGCCTCATTGTGCTAGATTCTATCTTATCGCGCGCTTGCATTTGGCGGTAGACTGGACGAATTTAATTATTTTCATAAATTAATAATTCGTTAACTGCAGAAATTATAAAATGATAGAAGACTTTTCTTTTCAGTTTAGTCCATTCTAGCCGTATGCGAAATATTTATTGTTATTTTTCAAATACCCTGTATATAAGATATAACAAAGTTGTAAGCTATAAAGCATACAAAATAAACAAAAGGAGGATAAAAATTAAATAAAACAAAATATGGCATCGATGACACTATCTGAAGCAGTACTATTATAAACAGAATTCTGCCTGAATATAATTCATCATATATCTTTATATTGTATCTGTTTTAACATAAGAAATTTGTGCTCTTACCAAATGTTTACATATATCATCGTCCTAAGATATTGAAAAAAGTAGATGAGAATAAAAATATTAAGATGTATATACATAAGTCTAAAAGGGAACCGTCGAAACTGACTCTCACCGATTTTAATGAGCTTTGGACATGTTGTAGAACATGGAAAAATAGACTCATATTTTTCTTGTCTCTATTTCGCTTATCTTGAGATTTAGGGGGTGAAATACCCCCTCGAAAATAATGTTTTGTATCGAAAATGGATTGTATCGTTCTTCTTAAATATATTTTAAACTGAAGTATATCTAAAAATGTTTTATATAAAAGTTATATAGTTTCTGATGTTCTGTACAGCGGCATAAAAGACATTTGTTGATAAAATTTGTCACAAAAATCAATTTTGTAACAAATAGTTCTAAACAAATTATTAAAAATTGATTACAGAGAAATTCTGATTACACCAATCAATTATGGAAATATTACTAAAGGAACATGCTTTTTTATGTTTATGCAAAAAAAAAACAAATAAGTTATGAAAAGTCGTTTCTGTTCATGCCTAGATTACCAAGGATAGATTGGGTTGCCAAAAAATGACAATTATAAATAAGACCGAAGCATGAAAAAATTTTGACGTTTAAAGTAAATAGTAAAGCAAGGCGGGTTCTAACCCATGGGGCTAGAGGGGAACGCGGGGTGCGGGGAAATACTAGCGTAGGCGCGGGGGATACCTAACGCGGGGAAAGAGGGGGAAAGGTCCGGGCTCCTACACAATAGGGCTCCTTTTTTTTTGTCATCAAAATTTCACCACGTTTTCCTTTAAAAATGCATCAGTAATAAAGGCTTGCATGTTAGAGAAAGATAGAGCGCGCGTAACGTGCTATGAGTGAAGAAAGGATGGAAGAATCAATAGAATACGAGTTTCTTTTGTACGATACAGTTTTTTCAATATGGTTTTTCCTGGCGCGTCGATGCAAAGGATGGGAAGTAAAAGACAATACACACGAAATAATGCGAACAAAAATGTTTTATTCATATCTTATTACATCGATTTTCGTACTTATTAAAAACTAAAGCTAATAGTTCGCAATCGACGAGCTGATGTCCATTGAAGATGTCGCTATCAAGTATAATGTTCTCAGATGCGATGTTGGAGAATCGCGTATACTATCTGCCACTTGGTATCGACGAGTCGAGCTAATCGTTCGAACGTTACATCGATACACCCGTTAAAGTCAAACATACGTCGTTTCGGTCATCGTAATGCGTACGATGATGAAGAATCGAGACGTACGAGCGTAGCATCGTTCAGCATGCAAACACTGACGGTCCAACGTTTATAAAATTATCCTTGTATTCGTTTCGAAACAGCTTGTAAATATTTCCTCGCTGCTCGTAGAGGCTCTTTCACGTTTCGAGAGACAGCGATAGTTCGTGTCCGCGATGGTCTCCAAGGGCGATCTCCACGTAACTAGGTGGGCCAACGTTGATTCCAATTTCCAAAAATTTGTAGCCCGTATTCGTTAGATCGTAACGTCTGCTCAGTAAACGCACCGCATGCTCCGTATACTGTGTACATACATAATGTTAAAAAACGTTACTTTTGTATAGAACGTTGAAACTTACATGTTATATTCCTTCTTCACATCGTACGATGCACTGCTCTCTTTAGCGAAGTACTTTTTTTCAGCCGTTCGTACAAGCGGGTATCGCAAACTGATTGCATCCGCGTAAATTGTGACGTAATACTTCTGGAATCGATGAGAGAAGGCAGGTTCTCCCTCTCTTTCCAAGAATTTCGAACATGTCGCGACACGTTTTATCAAATCTTTCTGCGTATTTTCTTTGTCACGAATTTATACATACGTTTATACATACGTACGTTTATACATACGTTTATTACAAAGGAAGGGAAAAGAAATACATAATAAATACGTTAACGTATTTTTATTTAAAAAATTCTTTTGTAATCACCAGTTATATATTTTCAATACATTTTGTAACGCGCAATTCTTAACATGTTGTCCACATCGTATAATATTAGTAACATCTAGATTAGATAAAGATTCCCTGTCTTCGTAAACTGCATCCAAGGTCTCAATGTACATGCGTTTTCGCTCATCGTCCAGAAGCAAGATCCGCAGCCACGTTTGTTTCTCGCGTCCCTTGACAATACACGACAGCATCATCTTCAAATACAGCCATCATAGACGTTTTGCTTCGTTGTACGGGATCGTCCCGTCCTCCCATTGCAATCCATGGTGATAAGCAATCAACCAGGAGGCGCAAAACCTGTCGGATCTTGTCAAAAATTTCCATAGCATGGGACTCGTAAAAATGTAATGCATGAGAAGGTCCCCTGTTTCAGCACCGCGACTTCCTTCACGATAAATTTCTTGTTAACGATGAATCCTTGCAGATCCACGAACGTTGGCACGAGCATGTTGTCGAGAAGACTGCAGTCGATTGCGGTCGATTGTGACGTATCGTAGATCTTATCGTGTTAGAGGTGCACTTAGGTGATTTTGCGCA